AGGAGGAGGAGGAGGAGGAGGAGGAGGAGGAGGAGGAGGAGGAGGAGTTAATGTTATCTGAAATGTTTCAAGGTCACTGGTCTGAACATCTGCCCACTTCTAGAACAGTGCTTCTCAACCTTCTTAAAGCTGTGACCCTTTAATACAGTTCCTCATGTTGTTGTAATCTCAGCCGTAAGTATTTTTGTTGCTACTTCATAACTGTAATTTTGCTGTTATCAATTGTAATATAAATGTCTGATATGCAAGACGTCTCATATGTGACCCCTATGAATGTGTGCTTCTACCCTTCCAAAAGGTCACATCCCACAGCTTGAGAACCACTGCTTTAAAAGAATATATTTTTGAGTTATTAACACAGCAAAGAGTTAACTTTCTTACATTCCTTAAAAGGTATGGGAAAATTCATAAAAGTTCCCTGCCAAGCAATACAAATATACACAACTGTTTAAGGAGCTTACATGTAACCAGTTCTGACAAATGATATATGAAAGCTGGGAATATAAACTGGGCTATGGCAAATGTGGGTTTTGGAGACTGTAAGGTAAAAACTGCAGCCAGAGAATGCTGTGTCTGCTTAGTAGCCCAGCCTGCTACTTTTTATTGCAAATGCACCTTCTAAACTGGTTCTCTCTTTTTTTGTTTCGAGATGATAAAGGTTCTTTTTTAAATTAATTTTTTCATTAATTACAATTTATTCATTTTTGTTTCCCAACTGTAGTTCCCTCCCTTGTCCCCTCCCATTACCACCCTTCCTCCCTCTTCTCCTCCCATGCCCCTCTCCTAGTCCAGTGATAGGGGAGGTCCTCTTCCATCTGAGCCTAGCCTATCAGGTCTCATCAGGACTGGCTGCATTGTCTTCCCCTGTGGTCTGGTAAAGCTGCTCCTGCCTCAGAGGTAAGTGATCAAAGAGACAACCACTGAGTTCATGTCAGAGACAGTCCCTGTTCCCCTTACTAGGACACCCACTTGGAGACTGAGCTGCCATAGGCTACATCTGTGCAGGGTTCTAGGTTATCTCCATGCATGGTCCTTAGTTGGAGTGTCAGTCTCAGAAAAGCCCCTGTGCCCAGATTTTTTGGTTCTGTTGCTCTCCTTGTGGCACTTCTGTTCCCTCCAGGTCTTTCATCTCCCCCTTCTTTCATAAGATTCCCTGAACTCTGCCCAAAGTTTGGCTATGAGTCTCAGTAGCTGGTTCTCATGTGAAGCTAAAGTGATAAAGCCACCAACCTGTAGCTGTTTCTTTTGGTTTTCTTGTGACCCAAAATATCTCTTTGTCAGATCTTTTTCTTGCTGCACATCTTCGTGGAATGAAATTTCTTTGGCTGGGCTTTCATACCCTTTCTCTGCCATATGTTCTGAATTCCTAGCAACACAGGGGGCATATAAATAATATTAGTATTTTCCTTAGGTGCTAGGGTATATAGCTTGCAGGAGTATGTAAGCATTTGTGGTGAAATTGCTTGTGTATAGTAATACAATTAACATTAACGGCTAATTTACTATATTTTCTGGGTCTTACGATTCAAGAGTTATGTAATCTCATCCTTTTTAAATGAGAGAAGCAGGCCTTTGGGCATATAAAGGAAGTTCCAGCAAGCACTAAATTAGTTAACACGTGCACAAATGCAAGAAAGAAATACTCAGCCTTTAATTATTTTAGAGACAGACCGTCTACGGTCTTATTTAGATGTGCACACACCCAACCTCACCCAGGGATGACAGGTGATCTGGAGGAGGGTCTAATGGTGTGCCAGCCTCCAGCATTGAGTACTTTCAAGTGCTAAGTTATCTGTGCATAAGACAAAGAATAATCATTTTCAAGTTATATTTTTTTTTTTTTTGCTGTGCAAAGTATCTTTTCCCCAAGCAACTGTACTTTAAACACTTGATACTTGGAAATAAAGTCAGTACTATAGGTATTTCTCATATGCAATGGACATGGCTTTACGTTACAAGATAAAACATAAACTGAGATGCAAGACAGGAGAGCAAGAACATTTCAAATTCAAAGGAACAAAGCTGAACTTGATACTTGTTGCCAGTGGAGCAATCTTCTAGGAATAACTCTGGCTAAATGAGACCTTGGTGACATAGAGATCAGTCTCAGTGTCTGTCTGTGTCTGACTATCTGTCTCCTCAATCCCCACTGTCCCTATCTCTTTGTCCTTCCAGAGAAGGCAAACAGAAATGTCGTATGTTCACCTAGGTGCTGTTGCTGGGATGGAATCCTGGACACAAATTTGATTTCTTTTTCCATTCTCCTAGCACCTTAATGGTGAAGGGTGTGTGGAGACTGAAAAGGATGTGTGGAGTGTTATGATCCAAATCTGATCAGGCTGTTACCTTTCTAAGTGTTTTCTATTTTCTTTCTTGTGCTGTTTGTTTGTTTGGTTTTGGTTTTTTGAGGCAGGATTTCTCTGTGTAGTCTTGGCTGTCCTGGACTCATTTTGTAGACCAGGCTGGCCTCAAACTCACAGAGATCCACCTGCCTTTGTCTTCCCAGTGCTGGAATTAAAGGCTTGTGCCACCACCTCCAAATTTTTCTTCTTTCTTAACACACATACTTGATTAAAAGGCAATGATGGACTTCTCCTTACTGAACAGAAAGTTAGTTGCCATTTTGAAACTTGGAATTTGAGGGCAAATTTTCAAAGTTTGGACTACCACCAAGGTTTGGGAATAGAAGGGATTAATCTGTACTAACCTTTGCTTTGTATCTTTTATGAAATTCTGTGTTTCCTTTTTCGCGTTTTGTTCGTAAATAGTACGGTGTATCTCTAAGAAACCTTTTATGGCAGCTTCATTGCTTATTGTCTTTTTATCACCACATTCTAGTTAGAGAAACATATGAAACAGTTCATTAGGGAACTTATTTCCTCTCAACTCCACAAAGAAGTAAATGAGACCCCTCCCCAAACATTAAAAAAATATGAACACAGGTCAAAATTAATCACATGCTAATTAGGGAAATTGTTCAAAACCTCAACTCCTCCCTAAGGATAGAATTAGTAAGTTGTCTTTTCCAAACAGTACATATTGAAATATTCAGAATGCAAGGATGCATTTCTGCTTTGGTTTAACTATTTAGAGTCAGGTAAATCAGGGACTTTATGAGGAAAGATTAAAATATGCTGAAGCCAAGTTTTTGCGCAATCCAAATGAGGAGTAAGTATATTAACACTCAACCATTCAAACCACATCTGACGTGTGGAATGTGTGCATCATTTTTATTGCTGTTTACCTAAACTTTGACAAGTCTATATACATGTGGAGCATGTAGGTAACAAAAGAAGCCAAGACTATCAGTAAAATAAGGTATATTAAGTATATATCAAATATAATATATATTTACTACTAGTAATAATATTATATATCTAGTTTGAGACAAAGTCTCATTATTTTTTTGTTCTGGCTGTCCTGGACTCATTCTGTAGACCAGGCTGGCCATGAGCTCACAGAGATCCACCTGCCTTTGCTTCCTGAATGCGGAATTAAAGGTGTGTGTTACCATGTCCTGCTCAAGATGGAGGTATATTAGAATATTTAATTTCTATAACTATTTGTTGTTTTAGGTAAACTATGTAGACATGAAAATTTCAAGAAAACAAGAAAAACTCATTCATAATAAAAGGTAATTTGATATAGAGAATTCACTGTAATTTCTTATAAAAACAAAATTTCCTAGAATGTTTGAGACTAAGTGGCTTTGGCATGTATGAAAATGCATGTTAGTAGGCAAAGTAACAGTGTCAACTTTTAAGAACATGGATATAGCACAAGTCATTACATGCCACATGTCATATATGTACATGGAAACTGGCCTACATCTGATAAAAACTTACTCATCCACAAGTAGCTAGATGTTAGACAAACTCTCTAAGAACAAGCCAATATCTCAATTGGAAGGGTCCACAAGGATCATAGACCATCTCTGTCATTTAACTTATGCTTTTAACAATTGTTCCAAAACTAAAATTTCCAAATCAGAGAGATGGAAAAGCAAGCAGAGAAGAAGCATTCCAGTGAACCAGTGCTTGGTTAACTCTCTATCTAAAAGAAAGACCACTCTCCAAAGTCCTGTTAATTAGGGAATAAAATGATGATGATTCCCAAGTACTTGGAGATTTTCTCTGTTGTAAACATAAATTTATTAGGGAAAGAATTTACCTGTTTTGATCAGATGCTTTTGAATGTTTTCATTTTTCTTTATCATACCCAATGATTTTGGCATACATAAGATATTCTGAAATAGGGTTATTTTATAAGACAGAGGAGTTTTTGTTGATACTTTTGTTGAGACTTCTGGATGGGATGGAGGATGAATTATTTGATTCTGTGTGCTGTAAAAAAAAAGCAACAAATGTGTGCTGGTAACTTTTTAGTATATAATTTTATATAATGCAATGCATTGTCATTATAAACTGGAAATTTTTATAATGGACAAAGTAGTGCTACTTGTCCTATTTGCAATTGCTTACGTTGCATGCTATTTATTTCACGTAGGAAATACCGGGATGACATTTGTTCCAGTGAAATGCTTATAGGGTGTAACTACAAATAGGTTACTTACATAGTCTTCAAGGGAGAAGGTGGGTAGCATCCAAGTAAGGGAGTAGATGGCCAATTATAACATAGTATGAGGCAAGATGGTTGTTTCTTGATGGCGCAGTCTACTTTCTTTTTGTCCATTTCTGGATTCTGAACATACCAATTAAAACATTACTAGCAATTATTATACTGTACCAGTCTTTCATAAGAAAATATTCTGAATAAAATGTGTCATAGTTCCTGAAACTGTCAATTTTCTTCTAATTCATGAAAATTAGATACTTTTTATTTCTAGGCTAAGAAGTTACACAATGCAAGTATATCACAAGAATACATTAAAAAAATCTTTAAATCTAATTCCATTTTTAAATTTCACTGTACAGTCCAGAACGTTCCTCAAAAACCTTTTTCTACAAAGTATGGAAACTTGTCACATTAACTGCTTAACAACTCTCTGAAGAGTCTCTCCCTTTAGCATCAGGAAAAGTTTTTATGTCTTGGGAGGCATTTTCCCACTTGCCTAAGATGAAAGTTTCATATCACCTCAAGAGTGCTATCACACTCACCTTGTCTAGGCTGTGCTTGCACACTCACCTTTCGTGATGATTCAGTACTTTCCTCAGGCTGTCCTTCTACACCTGCTTCAGAAAAATGTTGTTCCCTACTGCTCTCAAGAGCTGTATTTCCTGCTGAGGCAACTTCGACACTTGCTGAGTCCATACTTAATTCAGTTGAGGTATTTATACTTGCCTCAGATGAGGTATCCATGCTGACAACAGGAGATATTTCCACACTCAAAAAGGAGGATGATCCCATACTCAGGGATGAATCTTCACTCACAATGGGGGATGGTCCGGCACTTAGAGAGGTGTCCACATTCACCATGGGTAGCTGGTCAACATTTGATGTAGGGTGTCTTGTTATGTTCACATCACTGGGTTCTTCAATATTCACCTTGGGAGGGGAGTCCACCTTAACATCAGAGATGTCCTCCATTTTCTGGAGTATTACTTCCACATTACCTTTAGATGCTCCTGCCATTTTTGCTAGATAGGACAATTCCATGTTCTCCTTGGGTGGGATTTCTCTATTCACCTTTGCTGGTTCTTTCACATCTTCCTTGAGCGGTGTTTCTGCTTTCTTTGTCGGTGTTATTCCTAATTTTGCTGCAACCTGCATTTTTGCTGATGAGGTAAAAAACATTGTGGAATACTTGTGATCATCACTAGTACACACTGGTATACTAACATAGCAGAAAACATATTTGCCTATAAGTGAGTGAAGATAGAGAGTAAAATTCCATATAAAGGTAATAATTTGACCAGTTAGAAACATTCCATGTACACAGTATGAATACAGAGAAAAGTAGCTGTGTACTATGAAATTATACTAATTTCACACAAAATAAGAATTGTTCAGAGAAATGCAGGAGAGACATTAAGTAGAATATCAGAAATTCAGTATTACAGAAGCAACAGCAACAGAATTCTTATAATATTAGTGGTGTACTACAAATGAAAATAAGTTGGCCATATAACGTAGATGCTTGTTGCAAAACATTTCTATTTGGATCCCACTGTATATCAAAATATCCACCACAGCTTAAAAATATTTATTTTTATTTTATGTGCATGAGTGTTTGCCTGTGTTTGTGTGTGTGTGTGTGTGTGTGTGTGTGTGTGTGTGTGTGTGTGTACACATGCATGCTTGGTGCCCTCCGAGGCCAGAAGAGGATGTTGGATCCCCTGGAAGTGGAGTTACAGACACTGTGAACTGCCTTGTGGGTGCTGGGAACCAAACCCGGGTCCTCTACAAGAGCAGGAAATGTTCTTAACTGCTGAGCCAGGCCTAGAGATTATGTAAAATACTCCACACTTGAGTGTTTTAACAGAGTTAGCAAAGAACATCTTCTCATACTAAAAACTGTATTAAAACCATATATGATGAGTTCAGATAAAAACATTCATTTTGAAGTTTCGCACACAAAAAAATGCAAGAATGAACACGAACAATAAAACTGTCATACGACTAAACTGTCAGAGATATCTGGAGGAGGAGGAAAGACCTCTGCCTCTGCATAACACAGTAACTCTAAGGAAGAAATGAATGCAGGATATATCAGAAGTATCTCCTACCCTATGTCTCTACAGTAGAACTCACACTTGGATAAAGAGATTGCCTCTAACAAATCGACTTTCATAAAGGATTCCACAGATAAGACATTTGAAAGACATAATGGCCATGTCCACTGACCAAAATTCACTGCCAAACGCTACCTGGGATTAAACAAAAGTGAAGAGCAGCCTTATCAGGCCACAGAAGAGGACAATGCAGCCACTTTTGATGAGAACTGATAGACTAAGATCAGAAAGAAGGAGAGGAGAACCTCTCCTATCAGTGGACTTGGGGAGGGGCATGCATGCAGAAAGGTGAGGGAGGGTGGGGTGGGGAGGGGAGAAGGGAGGGGCTTATGGGGGGATACAAAATGAAAAAAGTGTAATTAATAAAAAATAAAAAAAACTAAAAAAAAGTGAAAATTTTTAATCAATATTTTGCTGAAATAAATCTTAATATTTATGAAGATCCCTAGTACAAATTACCTTTCTCCCCAAAGAATTTAATCTGACTAAATTAACTAAGGTCTTCTGTAGCGGTGTGGATCATTATGTACTCTGGTTACTCTGACACAAACTGGAGGCCCCTGGGAATATGGACCTTCAGTAGAATAATTGCCTCTATCAGTTTAGTTTGTGGGCATGCATGTTTGTGGTTTATTTTCTTGATTTCTGATTGATATGGGTTGTAGTCTCCATAAGAAACCTATCTGAACAAGCCAGAGGGGAACAAGCCCAGAAGGAGTGTTCCTTTGTAGTTTCTGCATCAAGTTCCTGCCTTGGCTTCCTTCAGTGATGGCCTACAAGTCATAAGTCAGGCAAACTTGCTTCGCTCTGGTGCTTTTGGTCAGTCTTTTATCATAGCAACAAAAAAGTAAACTAGAACAGTACAAAACAATACAAGAGGCATATAAAAGGGAAATGGTAGGGGGAGAAAACTTGTCAGAAAGAAATCACTTTAATGCTAGGAATGGTAGTTAAGGGCCTGCAATGTCAGCTCTCAGGAGGCTGAGATAGAAGGATTGCTCTGGGGTTAGAGGCCATCCACGGCTATGTAAAGGCTTCAGTGTGAGATTCTGTCAAAAAAATAAATAAATAAAAGAGGTTGTGGGGTGAGGGTGGGAGGAGATTTCAGATGGCTCAATTAGTAAAGGCACTTGCAACTAAGGCTAAGTACCTAAGTTCAGTCCCTGGAACCCACATTGTAGAGAGAGCTGACTCCCACAGATTGTCCTCTGACCTACACGAACACAAAGAGACGCGTGTGCACACGTATATGTACATGTATACACACAATCAATCAATAAACATAAAAATAAAGAGAACTTAAGGAAATATTTCAGTAATAATTATGATTTTTTTGTACAAAAATAGTAGAAAAATATGAAGGAAAAAAGTAAAGCTTTGTTTAAAATGGGGCCAGTAATTTATAATTTCAAAATGAAAATTCATGACATGTTTGAAGTGAATCAAAAAAGGTAGTCCTAAATCAACAAGATAGACAAACTCTTAGCCAAACAAACTAAAAAGCAGAGAGAAATGATCCAACTCAGCAAAATCTGAAACAAAAAAAGGGCCATAATGACAGACACTGATGAAATTCAAAGAGTCGTTAGGACTTACTTCAAAAGCCTATACGCCACCACAAAATTTGAAAATTTAAATGAAATTGACAATTTTCTTGACAGATTCCATTTACCAAAGCTAAACCAAGATCAGGTGAATAGGATTAAACAGTCCTATATCTCCCCCCAAGGGGAAACAGCAGCAGTCATCAAAAGTCCCCTTGCCAAAAAACAAACAAACAAACAAACTAAAACAAGAAGAGGGAAAAAAAAGCCCAGGACCTGATGGTTTCAGCACAGAATTCTACCAGACCATCAAAGAAGAGCCAACTCCAATTCTCTTCAAACTATTCCACAAACTAGAAACAGAAGGAACATTACCAAACTCATTCTATGAGGCCACAGTAACCTTGATATTTAAACCACACAAAGACCCAACAAAAAAGGAGAACTTTAGACCTATCTCTCTTATGAATATTGACACAAAAATACACAATAAAATACTCACAAACCAAATCCAAGAACACATAAAAGATATCACCCACCATGACCAAGTAGGCTTCATCCCAGGCATGCAGGAGTGATTCAATATATGAAAAACCATCAATGTAAACCACCATATAAAGAAACAGAAGGAAAAAACCCAACATGATCATCTCCATAGATGACAGAAAAAAAAAAAAAAAAAGCATTTGACAAAAATCCAACACCAGTTCATGTTTAAAGTTTTGGAGAGATCAGGATTACAAGGCAAATACCTAAACAAAGTAAAGGCAATATACAGCAAGCCCATAGCCAACATTAAACTAAATGGAGAGAAATGTAGTCAATCCCACTGAAATCAGGGACAAGGCAAGGTTGCCCATTCTTTCTGTATCTCTTCAACATAGTACTTGAAGTCCTAGCTAGAGCAATAAGACAACTAAAGGAGAACAAGGGGATACAAATCAGAAACAAAGAACTCAAAGTATCACTATTTGAAGATGACAATATACATGAGTGATCCCAAAAATTCTACCAGAGAACTCTGGCAGCTGATAAACGCCTTCAGCAAAGTGACTGAATAAAAAAATTAACTCAAAAAAAAAATCAGTAGCTCTCCTGTATGTGAAGACCAAAGGGCTGATAAAGAAATTAGGGAAACAACACCCTTTACAATTGCCACAAATAACATAAAGTACCTTGGTGTGACCTTAATCAAGCATGTGAAAGACATGCATGAAAAAAAAACTCCAAATCTCTGAAAAAAGATATTGAAGAAAATATCAGAAGATGGAAAGATTTTGCATGCTCATAGATCAGTAGGATTATCATTGAGAAAATGGCCTTCTTGCCAAAAGCAATTTACAGATTCAATGCAATTTCCATCAAAATACCAACAAAATTCTTTACAGAACTTGAAAGTGCAATTCCCAATTTCGTATGTAAAAACAAAACCCAGAATAGCTAAAACAATCCTGCACAATAACAGATCTTCTGGAGGTATCTCCAATCCCTGATCTCAAGCTGTTCTATAGAGCAACAGTAATAAAAACTGCATGGTATTGGCAGAGAAACAGGCTGGCGTACCATACAATGTAAAAAAGATAACATCTTCAACAAACCATGCTGGTCTAACTGAATGTAGGCAAATGCAAATAGATCCATATTTGTCACCCTGCACAAAACTAAAGTCCAAGTGGATCAAAGACCTCAACATAAAACCAGACACATTAAACCTATTAAAAGAAAAAGTGGAGAAGAGCCTTAAACTCATTGACACAGGAAACAGCTTCCTGAACAGAACACAAAGAGCACAGGCCCTAAGATAAACAATCAATAAATGGGACCTCATGAAACTGAAAAACTTCTGTAAAGCAAAGACACTATCATCAGAACAAAATGACAGCCAAAATATTGGGAAAAGATCTTCACCAGCCCTATATCTGACAGGGGTCTAATATCCAGAATATATAAAGAACTGAAGAAATTAAACACCAACAAACCAAGGAATCCACTTAACAATGGGGTACAGAGATAAACAGAGAATTCTCAAGAGAGGAATATGGAATGGCAGAGAAACACTTAAAGAAATGCTCAACATCCTTACTCATCGGGGAGACACAAATCAAAAGGACCCTGAGATTTCACCTTACACCCATCAGAATGGCTAAGACCAAAAACTCAAGTGACAACACATACTGGAGAGGATGTGGAGAAAGGAGAACCCTCCTCCATTGCTGGTGGAAATGTAAACTTGTGCAACCACTTTGGAAATCAATCTGGTGCTATATCAGAAGATCAGGAATAGTGCTACCTCAAGATCCTAGGCATATATCCAAAAGATGCTCTAGTATACAACAAGGACATTTGCTCAACCGTATTTGTAGCAGCTGTATTCGTAATATCCAGAATGTCCACAACCCAGGTGTCCCTCAACTGAGGAATGGATACAAAAACTGTGGTACATTTCCAGAATAGAATACTGCTCAGCAATTAAAAACAAAGAAATCATGAAATTTACAGGCAAATAGTGATAACTAGAAAAGATCATCTTCAGTGAGGTAATCCAGAAGCAAAAATACACACCTGAAATATATTTACTCATAAGTGGATATTAACCATATACTATAGGATAAATGTATTAACATCTATAGTCCTGAAGAAGCTAAACAACAAGAAAGATCCTAGGGAAGATGCTCAATCCTCATTCAGAAAGACAAACACTATAGACATTGGAAGCAGAAGTTCCCTTTGTAGGGAACTACAAAGGGCCTCTGAAAAATTCTACTGATTGAAGTACAAAAGAAGAGGCTGAGAGTCATAGCTAAACGTTGGGCAGAGGGCATGGAATTTTATTGAAAGAAGAGAAAGATAGAAAGACCTAGAGGAGACAGGAGCTCCAGAACGAGACCAAAAAAACGAAATGAAACGAAACAAAACAAAACAAAACAAAACAAAACAAAACACCTGAACCTTTGGAGAGACCTGTAGACTGATAGTCCAACCAAGAACCATGTATGAAGAGGACCTAAAACCCAGGCTCAGATATAGCCCATGGCAGCTCAGTCTCCAAGTGGGGTTCCTAGTAAAGGGGGCAGGGACTATCTCTGACGTGAACTTAGGTTCTCTGGTCAGGTCTCAGAGGAAGACAATGCCACCAGTCCTGATAGGCTAGGGTCAAATAGAAGGGGAGGAGGACCTCCTCTATAAGTGGACTAGGGGAGGGGCATAGGGGAAAGAGGGAGGGAGGATAGGATTGGGGGGAGACGAGTGAGGGGGCCACAGCCAGGATACAAAAGGAATAAAATGTAATACATGATAATTTTAAAAAGAGTACATAAATAGGTAGTCCTTCAGTACAAATGTATTTATACGAACATTGTCTAATTTCTTTCTTCACTTTTACTCTAGACTCCCTGTCTTATGCCAGGAATTTTGTACCTCATGGAAAGATAAGGTTCTTTTACTCCTACCATTGTCTTTTATTTTTGTAATAATTTTAGTTCAAGAAGAGGTAATTTGGATGGCAGTTTCTTGAATGACTATTTTATTTATTTTTATTTTTAGCCAGACAGTGGTGGCACACACCTTTAATCTCAGCACTCAGAAGGCAGAGGCTGGACAGCGAGTTCCAAGATAGCCAGGGCTACATAGAGAAACCCTGTCTTGAAAAACCAACGAACCAATCAAACAAAACTGTTTCTTTTGTTTTTGAGACTGTAGGATAGATGCTTCATTTCCTCCCTCCAAACCTTGTCCTTTCTTGCTCTTTCATATTCATAACCTCTCTTTTCATTTATTGTTGGTACATGTACATACACATATACATTTATATTCCTAAACATAACCTTCTCAGTTTGTATAATTTTATCCATATGTATGTTTTCTTGAACAACTTTTTAAGCAACATAAAACCTGAGCTAAACACACTTCTTTTTTTTTTGTAATTTTTTTCTCATTTATTTTATTCACTTTATATACTTGTAGCCCTTTCCCTCCTTCTGTCTTCCCAATCCCACTCTTTCCCTCCCCCTCCCCTTTTCCTCCACCACAGTTCATCAAATTTCATCTTCCCCTGTGACATGTGAAGGCTTTCCCACCAGGGGGAATTGATTAAAAGCTGGCAGGTGAGTCCTTGTCGAATGCAGTCTCCACTTCCCTTACTAGAGGACCCACTTGAAGCCTAAGCTGCCCATCAGCTACATCTTTGTAGGAGGCCTAGGTCCAGTTCATGCATGGTCCCTCGTTGATGTTTCAGTCTCAGCAAGCCCCTCTGGATCCTGGATAGTTAGATCTGTTGGTCTTTTTGTGGAGTTCCCACCTTTTCTAATGTTGATCACCTACAGATCATTTTCTCTTTCCTCCCAGTTTTCCACAACACTCCCTACGCATTCCTCAATGTTTGGCTATAAACACACTTTTTTAAATCAGTACTTAAGATCTCTACTTAGAAATAACTGCTCACTGGACTTGTCCACTTGTTGACCCACACTGGAATGGTTGTATTTTCTAATCAAAGATGACCTTTTTTCTGTCTTTCCTAAACATCAAATGCAAAGGAATATTACTTTCCTAGAAACTACTTAAAATTTCAGGAGCGACTCATTCTTTTATTAAACAGTAAAAATCTGGTCAACTCTTGCTTGTAAGAATTTATTTATCTAATTTCAAATATTTCATAGTTTACAACTCCAAACTTAAAATTATTTTATTTAAAGTGACAATAAAGTTACTTAGAGAATGAGGAAAACCATGTGCTGTGGTGGAACCCTTTAATCCTAGCATAGGGGGCAGAGGCAGATGGATCTCTGTGTGTTTGAGGCCAGTCTGGTCTACAGAGTGAGTTCCAGAACAGTCAAGGATAAACATAGAAACTGTCTCAAAAAGCAGATAAAAATTAATATGAAAAATGTCTAATATTGACAACACCAATCTTCCTAAATTGGGAATATGTAACTTTTATTTTTAGACATAATCCATTATGGAGTCTAAGAATAATCGATAATTTAATTCTAACTATATTTAAACCAAAAAATATATTTGGTATAGATGTCACAATATAACAAAATTATAAGAGAAAACCATTGGTTTTGTGTAAATACTTCCTATTTAATCTGAAATGTTCTAGCTCAAGATACTGAGGGTTAGCCAGTTAAAAGAATTCCTTTTTTGATACTTGTAAAATAAAGTACGCATTAGCTCTGTTGTATCATGTGAAAATTTCTTGAATTGATGATGTGATGAATATAGCCCTGGAGGTGCAGGCTGCTTAGCAGAGTGACTGAGTCACAAACTGTTTTCATTGCCATACTTCAAGAAGTAACAGTCAAGAGCTATTACAAATCAGCCTCTGCTGAATTAGAATTATGGGTTTATACCACTACACCTGAATTATTTTTAAGTGGGTTCTGGGGAGCAAACTCAAGTCTTATAGCTTGCAAGGGAAGTACTTTACTGACTGATCTATTTCTCCAGCCTTGGATTAGTTTATTAAAAACAAACATAAACAGAGAAGCCAATGTAGTTTTTCATCATTTTTGTCCCGAATGTAAATTTATATAAAGCCTGAATTAATGTTTATTGTAAAATGTGATCTATTCTGCTTTGGCAGATGATATAAATTTATGTAGAATGTTTTCATCTAGGACATAAAGAATAGATTGTGCTGCAAATCTAGCCTTCTACCAATAACTGACAGCTAAAATGGACATTAATAAACTTAAATGTAACACCTTACCAGATTTACTTACCATATGTGTTGGTGTTGAGTGCACCACTCTCCGGTGACCTGCTTTTCCGATGTTGATCAAAACGTTTACATCGCTCCATTGTATGAGAGACAACTGCCTTAAATCTTTCCTATTTAAAAAGAAGTGTCAGACCATATTATATGGTTATTATATTACCACAATGTTTAGTTATGGTTCCTAAAACTAACTCCATCAGCACATTTTTTTTCAAGCAATTAAAGGTTTAAAATAATCATCAGTGACTACCACTGCTGTTCTCCAAATAAGTTGGGGTGTTTTGTTTTGTTTTTCATGGCTACTATGTCGAAGAATTGGCTATGTCCCGTTTTTTTTTTTTTTTTCTCTTTTATTAATAGGAAACTCAGAGACAAAATTCTGAAGCAACTGTACAAAGACTGAAAAGAGTCCTTTCATGCATGCTAACCATATCTCAATTTTCACTTCTTGAGTCCCTTAATCATTTATTCTACCATGTCATATGATATTTTTTTGTAATTACTTTGTTCTTTGTGGAAAGAAACAGGAAAAGGTGACATGCCTAGAAGTCAAATGTATATCAAAGTTCTTTATCTATTATGCTCATATCTATAGCAGCTTAAATCCTGGCACTAAGTTAAGCATTTCTTTTAGGACAATATACTATGGACTACGTTCCAGTGAGAAAATCACCTTCGGGCCCAGAGGTGTTCTATTTCCTAACAGCAACTGTTATACAACAACAGCATCTTTACAGTGCGTGGCCTGTTCCTCTTAAGCCAAAGAGAAACACATTAGCCTACTTACAATATCCATGAACCAGGCTCTGGCTGGGCCTCGCCCCCACTAACCCTTTGGGGTTGATACCTTTTAGCATTTTCTCCTGCAGAGCCTCTGGTTCCCTTTCTGTCTATACTGACATTTGCTTCTGTTCTGTTCTGCGTTTTCTTTCTCAGCTTCCTCTTTTACTAAGATGGGACTGTCTTGGGCTGACTCTATCCATCAGGGAACCTCCCAAACTCTGTATTGTTTCCTAGTTTGTTTGTTGATTCTTAAACTGTCTTTAATGGTTCATACTCTCTCATCTATTTACAAGATTGCTTAAGCTGAGAGAAATAAGCCTGTCAGATGAGGGTGCTGGGTTTGGGGTCTTTATGCAGATGGTGGAGAATAGTTCTGAGCTAACCCCAAACCAAGGCACACTGTGAGTTGTGTTCTGAAGTACAGCAGGGTTCGGTTTCTGTATGTTTTAAGCTTCCGCTTTCCTTGCTGAATTTAGTGTTTAAGCACTTGGACCGAGAGGAAAGAAAATGAAAGAAAATACTGAGAGGTGAGCTTGTTCCCTTCCTTTCTACAGGGCCAGTAAACACAGAAAAGAAGTAAATATTTAAGATGCACACTATGCTGACACCACTAAGACAGACTCTAAAGTTGCATACTTTTTCTTCTGCCTCCTTCTGTTTCCTCTTTTGCTCTGCTGATATGCGTCTTTGTTCACCCTTTTCCTTCTGTTCCCTCAGTTTACACAGCTTTTTTTCTAGATGTTTCTCATAATGCAAGTTAGACTTCTGCTCTTTTTCCATAAGATGTCTTTTCTTATTGGCTGAAAGAGTCCAAGTACATTTTCATGGTGTTAAAGACAAGAAAAGGTTTCCATATTACACACATAGAAGGAAAAAAAATGAAGTCTATCTCACTATCACCCTTAAGACAACATAACCTGCTGCAGTAATAACATACACAGTTCATATGTGTGTACACACACGTGCTCATTGAAAAACTGCCTTTCACTAGGTGTTCACTGAACTGTGAAGAGCTGGCATACCTAAGCCAGATGACTCTTGGCCTATCCAAACTAAAATTCCAAAGTAGGAAGAAACGATATTTTTTTTTTTACGCAATCTTTTTGCTAGTATGAGATAAAGTCAAACTGTTTCAGAAAAATATGCCTTTTTTTTTATAATATAAATTAAAGAACACATAGCCTGAATTCTATACTTTGCTTCTTTCTACTCTGAAACATCTTTCAAAGTCCTCATTTCTCCAGATGCTATTAAACAAGCAGGTGCTACATGAATAGACTTAAAAGTGTACCCGATAATAGAAGAGCATGTTTTACTACTTGGATTTTCTCTGAGTGCAACCAGAGGATTCATATTTGTGCAGTTCTAAAATATTCTCCCTGATACAATACTATCTATCTCTGCCATTACAATGAAAAATCACTCATATTCTACTTGAATAAATTTGAGCATTTATTTTGTCAGTTGATTTAAATCCAAGAAGAAATACATGTAGGTGTAATGCATGCTCCCAAATTGTAAAAGTCTTAATTCATACCACGTCCCATTTTTCCTGAAATCTAACCCTGCTTTTTCCTACAACTGTCAAAGAATGTTCCAGACCTCAGATTTCAGATAACTGAAGTTTCTTCATGGGCCTTCTTGGTGTAGGTTAGTAAGTGGACTTAATTCGATATATTTTTAATTTATTTTGTTTTATTTTTATTAATTACAGTTTATTCACTTTGTAGCCCAGCTATAGCCCCTTCCCCTCCCAACCCCACCCCTTCCTCGATATAATATTTTATATAATAAAATTATGACCTACCATAAAATACAACATATAACATAAAAGATATCATATACCATATAGACAAAGTAAATGAAACCAAGTGAGAAATATATAACCTGTATATAAAGAGAAATGTCTAACATGCATACCATCTTGCTGATGTTTTTGTTTTTCCCTGCGTTCTTTGGCTAGCTGCTGTTTGATATCATTTTTAAGGACAGAACAACCTAAAAAGACCAAAGATAATTACACATTAGTATGATTCCAAATTTTAAAGTTACAACACTGATAGATCAAAATATTATTGAAAGTATACCAGGTATATAAGAAGATCTCCTAGTCGTAACCGCAGAAGAGTTAATACGGTGTTTATGTCTCCTTTCTTTGGCTAGATCTTCAGCCACAGCAACTAAAACACAGGGAGATAAGGACAAGGCCTTAGAGATTAGCAGCCAATATGAGGGACAGCAATTCATAACCATTTGTCATTGATGGTAAAAGAGCGATCGGCTCATTTCTTTAAAGTAGTTACCAGGTCCAACAACACTTTAATGAATACTTGAAAGGACATGATATTTGTGGACCTAAAGACAATTCCAGTTGTGAATGGCAGTGGCAGCACTGCCATTCAGTCAGACACTGGCGGATCTCTGTGAGTTCAAGGCCAGCCTGACCTACAAAGCAGTTCCAGGGCATCTAGGGCTACGCAAAGAAACACTGTCTCAAAAAACAAAAATACAATAAAATAAATTAGGCAAGATAGTACACTACATAATTTTTTAAAGAGTTTACAAGAAATTGAAGGGAGAAAGGTTTGTCAAAATAAGAAGTTCAAAATTTGGGCTGAGCCTGGCAGTGGTGGCGCATTCAGGGGGGTAGAGGCAGACAGATCTCTGTGAGTTTGAGGCCAGCCTGCTCTACAAAGTGAGTCCAGGACAGCCAGGGCTACACAGAGAAGCCCTATGTCAAAGAAAGAAGTTGGAGCTGGAGAGGCAACTAGGTTATGAGCTCTCAGTGTTCTTTAAGAGGACTCAGGTTCAGTTTTTTGCATGTATTTGGCAGCTGACAACGATTTTAAACTCACCGTTACAGGGGCCCTGATGCCCTCTCCTGACCTCCACAGGCATTCATTCAGGTGAGGTATTTACATGTACATACTTGGAGGCCAAATGTTCATTCATGTAATATCAAATCTTTGAAAAAGATAAGAATGTATAGATCCAAATCTAGAAGCAGTGGATTAACAAGTGGTATACTCAGAGATGGAGTAAAATATTACAAGACATTTACCCATATCAGGTACTTCCTAGGCTGGCTACCCACTAGTCGCCTGAGTCACTTTCAGAACAACCCTGAACTTTCCCTTTAGGTGTGGGGCTCAAGCATTTAGAGCTATTAAAAAAGTTGCTCATTTTCTTTCTTTGCTTTTTCTATGGTGATTGGGATTGAACTGAGGGCCTCTACTATGCTAAAAAAAAATGTACCCTTTCCCCATGGAGCCACCTCCATGCCCTCAGCATCCCCAAGGCTCTATTCTGATGCATTATGAAGTTGCTAAGGTTTAAGTTTTAAAAATGTAAGGCAAATAAATATAAACTGTACCAAATATATATGCTTTCTGTCAACAGGCAGAAAAATGGTAACTTAAACATCAGTAACAGGAGAGAAAGAAAAAGGAATTTAAAAATGATGGCCATTATAGATGATTCCTGAACCTTGAATTCCAGGGATGGTTGTATCTAATATTCTCCACAATTCTGGGCAAGAGCTTGGAGAACACGTGAAAGAAAATGTTTTTACCTTTGTGCAAACACACAGCCAATATTCCTCTTACACAAGTCTGGTTATTACTTATTGAGAGATAACAGTTCAAGACAGTTCAAATATTTAAGGGACTAGAGGGATTACCCTGGTGCTCACAGAATGAATGGGTTCTGTGCTGTTGGCCGCATTGGAGAAAAGCTACCTAGGATTCATTTTAAGGGGTAACCTTAAAAGTGACCTTGCAGTTGCTGTCATAAAGATCACCATTTCAAAAAAAAAAAAAAGGGTATTTTTGTAAGTCCTAGGGAGCTAACAGCTCAGATAAATTATGACCTACTTAAATTTAAATATTAGATTCTTCTCTGCCTCACTCATAATTGAACTACTGGCATTTTTGTGGAACATGTTATTTCTGAATAGCATACTAGCACAAAATCTAATCTAATTCTCTGAAAAAGAGCACATTGTTTCTAAAACTTTCATTGGTCTGCAACAATGGATTCCAGGGGAACACACAGCTTCTGAAAGCTTGGAGATCAAGACTAGGGGGGGGGGAACTGCTAGATTTTTGTGTTCAGCAGCGACTATGGAGAAGAGCATATCCCAGCAGCAGACTGTACCATTTTAAATATTCACACAAATAGCAGGCTGCTCAATACAGTGTGCATCCAAGACATAGAAGCTGCTCAGGATTTCTGAGTCTGGGATTCTGCCCGCTAGACTAACTTTGTTTTCTCCAGCTCTAAAATGCTGATAATCCACCTCTCCTCACCTCTCCTCAGGAGTAAAGACCCAGTCGTTGAGTAGGCTGCTCTAAATTTAGAAACCACGTGTGAATTTAAACAAACAAGAAGGGAAAAGTTGACAACTTGAGTTACAAAGTTTTTAAAGCTCATCTGGCTGAACAGTTTTAATTTAAAACGGTTGTGTAGAAAATACCAAACGTGTTTTGTTAAAATAAGTATAGCTCTTTAGCATACAGCATTAGCATAGTACAATGTGTAGGAAACCCATTAAATGAATATACGTAATCTAATGTATGTTAATTACATACATATATACATTGATAAAATACATTTGTGCATACCGTAAGTGTGCACCCACAGAGGTTATTTGTTCAAGATACCCTTTTTTGTTTGTTTTTAGAGACAGGGTTTCTCTGTGCAGCCTTGGCTCTCCTGTACTTTCTTGGTAGAACAGGATGGCCTCGAACTCACAGAGATCTGAATGCCTCTCTTTCATTGAGAGTTGGGAATCACGGATGTGTGCCACCATGCCCAGCATTCATTTTTTTAATTCTTGCAGTCAAGGTTACAGAAGATGAAATTGAGCTTTAAGAAAAATATTTTCCTGTGCAGGGCTCTGGGCAAATCTAATACATGGTGTTTTCAGCCTAATGTACACGAGGCAGGATGTAAACAACTGATCTGGGTGAAATCCTCACCTTTTTGTATGGCTTAATTTTCATTCTTTTAGCTTGAAGTGCTGTAAACTCAAGACAATTGCCTCATCATTTTAACTCTTTTCCAACATTCAATAAAAAATGGTAGAGTGTTGGACCACAGCTCCTTCAATATATTTGAATACTCTAGAAGACCAAAGGCAGAGGAGGAAGGAAATAGATGGAAGCTGGAGGTTATCTTTGAGTTAGTGGGTAAATGAACTGCATTCCTCTGCTCTCACAAAAGCATTTGCTCTAGTTTCCAGCTGTTACTGTTACTGGTAAAGACAGAACCCAGGTTGAAGTCAGTGCTACTTGATTAGTCCTTACATTTTCTTTTGAGGCTCAGGGACAGTACTTGACGCTAGTTCCTATTGTTAAAACCAGGCTCTCTGACACCCTTTCTAATGATGTCTTCTATTCACATGGGAAGGGCTAGCCAAATAATTTTTTGAAAGAAATGTAAAATGAGCATTACATTTTGCTCCAGTACTGGGCAGGGAGAATCGGGCAAGGCAGCTGGAATTTGACTAATAAGCACCTGATGAAACTGATAAGAGTTAAGAAGGCAATGCAAGGAGATGCTGCAAAGTTCTAAAACACCTACTTCTGGCTACCCATCAAGCCTTTCTGTAAAAGTTCCTAAGGATTGGCTCTTGCTATTCTAGACTAATTTCTCACTGCTTCCTCTCAGGCATTCACCTGGCCTGAAAGCTTTCGCATCTTGCTTCTTTCCACCTCTCAGTAAACAACTGATCTGGTTGTTAGGATAATTTGATAATTTGCTGGGTTTTTCCCAGCAGGGTGAGGAACCAGAGGGAAGAGAGGCACTAAAACCAGTGCCTGGAAGCTGGCTAAAGGAAACTACTAAATGTATATATCCATGATGGGAATGGGGAGATGGCCAAGTACCAGTGTACCTGAGAGACTTCATGGAAGAAATACCGTTTCTAAGCTTTACAGGCCTGGAGAGCAAGTTATTGTATGAATTTTTCTTAGTGGCTAGTACCATGTTTTCTGTGTGTTTTATGTTGAGTAAAATTTTGTGGATGATGATGAAATTTGCTCTTATGTCTGGGGCTAATTAAGTCAATGTAAACCGTTCAGTCTTTTGGAATTAGCAGTTACTTCTCTTTTCTTTGCCTGCTGTGGGGGTGGGGATATGCAGACTCAGTTTTGGTTGCTTCTGGATTTGTGTGCCCTGCATCCTATTGATGGGGGTCTCTTCAATAAGAAAGGTATGAAAAATAAAGCACTGACTTCAATCTGGGTTTTGGAGACATATTTGGGTAGTTTACTTCATGGTGTTTTCATGATTTAAAATGATCCAGCTTGTATATTTAATAAGAACATAGGCCCCAGCATGCCTAACATATGCTTTTCCCCATCTCCATATGTTTTATTTGTGTCTTAATCCATAGCCTGCTGGGAAATAGTTGGGTAAGGCAGCACTTATGGGACCTTTTGATTGCTCTCATGCTATTTTTTTTTTTTTTTTTTTTTTTTTTTAGCTTACAGTATTCACACATCCTCCACTGTGAGCTGGAATTCATCCCTGGACCTGTGGAATTGCTACAGGGCTGACTGCAGGGGAAAGAAAATCTGAAATGTGAAATGGTTTTGTTCAAATGTGAGTCAGGGATGTGTACAATCTGTTTATAGAAGGAGGAAATGACCTTTGGAGGAAATTGGTTCAGGGAGAAATGCTGTCATTATATAAGCATTCAAATTTTAGTAACAGCAGGGGGAGTGACTTACTGCCTGACTCCTAAAGGCCCCAAATGTATCCTTTATCCACTGCAGGGTGGTTAAAGAGTGTAAGGCTTAAGAGCCTAACAGTCTGGGTCTATAACCCAGTTGAGCCACCCAAGGACAATGTGACCTTCAGTCTTGGTTTCTTCATCTGCAGAATGAGAGTATTGACAGTTGCTTATAAGTGTTTCGCTGAAATTCTAATCAGCTGATGTAATCATGATCCATGTAAAGTGACTAGTTGTGATAACAGTCCATATTAGTAGGCAGTACGTGGCAGGCACTGGATTACACTCTTCATTCACATAGCTTAATTTGTTCTTGATCGTATGAAGTCAGGATAGTATCTTTTACCCCCCCCTTTTTTTTATTTGAGTCAGGGTTCCACTGTTTCCCTGACTAGCCTGGAACTCTATATAGACTCTGTATAGGATGATCTTGAACACACAGAGGCATGGGGCTCTATGCCCAGAACAACTATTATTATGAATGCTAATATATCATATAGCTCAGATTGAAATAGGTAATTTCCCCTCCTAACCCTAACCCCCATAGGAGTTTCTAGAAAAAGTCTCATGTGGCTCCCTCACCCTGAAATCTTCCTGTGTAGCCTGAGTAGGAGGGACAGGAGGCTTAGAGAATGAGTATTTATAATGCAAATGTTGGCTGAGAGCTTTTGCGGTTGGAAATGGGAGGTCAAGTTTTTCAGGTAAAGAAGAATGATTGTGAGTAACCCCCCCCCCCAAAAAAAAAAACAGGCTTGTTTTTGGGGAGTATTTTACAAATAAGAGTCATTCACATGCCGGAATTAAAAAAAAAAAAATACTTGAACTTCCCAGAGAGCCAGCACTTCTCTCAGATACTGGGGAAGAGGAAGCCTCCTTGAGAAAGTGGACAAGGTAGAGTCTGTTTGGCAAGGGGCAGCAGCGGCAGCGAAGCATGGTGGGCTGTCTCAGACCCAGGCAGCGCCTGCCCCAGGCTTGTCTTCTGGTGTAAAAGCCAGATGTCAGAACGAACACTCTAAACAGATGGATCTCTGCCAGCACCACTGCACCGCCGCCACCGCAGTATTTGAACCTTCCTCTCACTTCTTAGACACTGAGGCAGCCTTACTGGAAAAAGCAAATATTATAGGAAGAGGAGAAAGCGTCTCTCAAGAGGGAGCATGCAGTGAGTACTTAATGTGAGCCAGGGGTCCACAGCCTTAGCAGTTTCTGGCAGAGAGGGAAGCATACAGGCTTTGCTGTATAGTAGAGAGTGTCAGCAGTTTTACTTCAGCTATCTAGATACAAAGTCTTTCCTGGTACATTCCTCACCTTTCATCCAAATCACTGCCAATTCTGTGAATGAGGTAGAAAGGAAGGATTTCGGTTATGGCATCCAAAATTCATGGAAATAGAAATAATCTTAATAGAAGATTTTGTCAGTTACAGTTCTTCAGTGGCATTTTGCAATGTTCTTGTCTTTCTTTTCCTTTTTCTTTTTCTTTTTTTATGAGATAGGGTGTCTCTGTGTAGCCTTGGCTATCCTAGGACTCACTATATACACCAGAGGCTGGCCTTGGACTCACAGAGATCCACCTGCCTTTGCCTCCCTGAGTGATGGGATTACAGGCATGAGCCAATGCACCCAGCTTGTCCCAGTACTTTTCAAAGTCCATGAATGGACACTTTTGTGGTCAGTAGTCTGAGCTGGAATTCCAAAGAGCACCAAAGGCAGGAACACTAAAAGTATGATTTTTTCCAATAACTTGGAGACACTAAGAATTAACATTTAACCAGCTTCTCCCTCATTTTACAAAACAAGGAACTGAGGTGTAGTGATTTACTCAAGATCTAACAGCTAGGAAATGGCCAATCGATTCATTTGAAATTTGCATTTTTAAATTTTACCCAAATTTAAAAATGAGAGATTACCCAAAAGGTGTGCTATCCTGAGCCTTAAAGTAGATTAGGTTTTTTAAATGGCATGAACAGTAGCTGAACCAAAATCATTGTGAAGATTTCTAGCTATTACACTCAGCTTTTTCTCTTTATATTAATGGCCATATATTTTAGCCATACTTAAATGTAATGTATGAATCTACACCATGTTTCAGTCTACATTTTTTAACTTAATCCAGCCTCCACATACTTATCACTTAGTGCCTAAATAGCATTTCATCTGGTCAAATAGGTTAACTGTTTTTAGATTACTGTTGTTGAAATTTAGTATTGTTGTTTTCTTCTAGTTTTTTAACCATTAAAAACAGTGGGCCTTGAACTGCCCTGGCAATTTTCCCGCACTGCACCCCTGCCCTCCGTTTTATTTGAGTTAGGTTCTTTGAAATATGGTCTTGGGAAGAGTGGGGGTGCGTAGTGTGTGGGGGTGGTTGGGGTGGAGGGTGGGAGGTGTATGGGTGGAGGTTTTGTGTAAAGAGCTTTCAAATCAAATTGCCCTCCATCAATTTGTTGTGTCTGTGTGTCAACAGGGATGAGGAGACTAGATAATTAGGGACAAGGGGTGAAAATGTTTTCATTCGGTAGAAAAGGGAACTTGAGGGTTCTTGGCTGATACTTCCTTCTCCCCAGCCCTCTTACTCTCCCCCCACTGTGAGTATTCTTTTGGCTTTTTTGTGGCTGTCTCCTCCTGTGCAGAATTGTGGCACAGAAACCACTCCCCAGCGGAACAGAGTGGGCAGTTTTTGTGCCAAAACACTAGACGAATCCACCCGTGGAAGAGTGTAAGCATCCACTGTGCTATGCCGAGTCAAGTTCTGGACATCCGCTTACATGCTCACTTGTATAAACTGTCGATTCAGGTTCCAAATATACGAGCTGATGATTAACCTCACCCCACCCTCCTTGCCAGGTAACCCTGCTTGGCTTGGTACGCACTGTGTCGTCCACACTTGCTCATAATCACGGCAACCCTCCTGCCTCAGCTGCCTCATGGCGTTACAGATATGTGCTCATGCCTGTGCACTGCACGACCTCCTCCCTCCCTTTTCAAAAAGAAGGGTCTGACTGGATCTTTGTACCCTTGGACTTGGACATAATCCTTTATCACTTACAAATCATTCAATATTTAGTAATAAGTAATGTGTTTGAGAGTCTAGTCCATGGCTTCTTGGTCCTCAGAATAATCCTTGAGTTGAATGTTTTTGTCCCATTTTTACGGAGGAGGAAAGTGAGGCTTAGAAAGATGTTTAACTTAGACCAGCTTAATTGGTAAAAGTGCTTGCCATGCCACCGTGACAATGAGTTCAGTGTCTGGAATTCATGGTAGAAGTAGAGAACAGACCTTTGAAAGTTGTTCTCTGACCTCCATGCTGAAGCCATGGCGTTCACCCACTGCATGCAAGCACACATACACATGCATTTATACACGGATACGCATGCATACACACACACACGCCAGTGCTACTACTAAATGAAATAAAAATGAAGAGAGAGAAGAGGGAAGGAAATCAACTTGGCCAGAGTCACATAGCTCTCAAATGTGCCAGATCTATGATTCTAGGACCTTTGCCCCCCTACCCACCCTTCTTGGTCTCTTTTTGTTTTTGAGACATAGTATCCCTGCGTTGCTTCGTTTGACTCCAACCTCTTGGGCTCATGTAATCATCCTGTCTCAGACTCCTGCTGGATGAGATTGCAGGCATGTGCCATCACACCTAGCTCCAGCACTTTGATTTTGTTCTGCCCCATATACTGTTCTCATTTATGAGATGATGACTGACAACACATCATACTGACTGCACCATGGTGACTATATAGTTTTTTTAGAAGTGTCAAATGCGATAAAATCTACCAAGGTGCCTTGTAAAGTATAAACAGAACCTTGCATAGAAGTGTTTATAACTTAGGTTTAATTTAGCAATAGTGATTAGGTAATTCTTTCCTGGAGCAGGCCTTTCTATGTCCTCTTGGCTGGCCTGGAACTCTTATAGGCCACGCAGGTTCCAAACTCTCAGAGATCTACCTATGTCTGCTTCCCAAGTGCTGGGATTAAAGGCATGTGCTATAATGTCTGGTCCTACCTTTTGCTTTGTTTTGTTTTGAGACAGGGTTTATCTGTGTAGCCTTGGATGCCCTAAACTCGCTTTTTAGACAACTCACAGAGATCTTCCTGTCCCTGCCTCCTGAGTGCTGAGACCACACAGGTGTGCCCCACCCCTCCTGGCTGGCCCAAACTTTTACTTTAAAAAAAAGAGTTTTATTTTATGCGTATGTGTGAGCGTTTGTATGCACGTGTGCAAGATGCATACCTGGTGCCTGTGGAGGCCAGAAGAGGCTGTTTAGTCTCCTGGACCTGTAGTCTTAGGCAACTGTAAGCCACTGATGTGGGTGCTAGGAACCAAACCCTTGTCATTTTCAAGAGTAGCTACTGTTCTTAACTGCTGAGCCCTCTCTCCAACCTCTGATTTAGCTCCAGCAATTCTATAGGCTGCTCTCAGCCACATAACCTGGCCTAAATGTCCTGTGGCTGGAGGGGATTAATCGTTTCTGTCCTAAGAATAAGTGTTTTGAGGAGTGGGTCCCTGGTGATTGCTAGAGGATGCTATTTGCCACTGTGCCTCTCACCTGTATAAGACTTACCAGCATTTATGGTCTCATTTATACACTCAGAATGCTTATCCATATCTTCAAAGGAATTTGATGCTGTAGATGTTGCTCCCAAAGACGATCAGAGAAAGTGTCTTTTACCTCTGGTCTTTGTGATGATTATTGACACGTAACAGCACGTGAAGAAATAAGTATTTTCTGATAGTTCTAAGGGAGAGAGTAAGAGTTAGACACATGGGAGCTCCATACTCAACTCAGATACCATTCACACTGGGAGAGCCCTTAGGTAACCTTTCTTTGGGCACCCATCCTTCCAAATTTCTTATTTCTTAAATCATCTGGTTTTTTTGTTTGTTTGTTTTGGTTTTGTTGTTGTTGTTGAAAAGGCATAACATGTCCTATATTGGGGAGAGAGACTATACGGACTGTGTTGTATCAGACTTCATGACAGGGAAGCAAGGTATAAATGTCACCAAACATCCTGGCATGTGACATACTTACCTGACGTATTTGCCAGTTTATACTGTTCTTCCCTGTATGGGAATTGCCTGCTTGTGTGTAACCTCGTGTTGAATATGATGTGTCTCACTATCTCACTTACTTCTGAGGGAAAGCATAATAAGACTGACTTTGAGAGTGAAAAAGACTTGAGCCATAAACTACCTATTTAACTGTACAACATCAGGCAGGTCACTATAGCTCTCTTCCACCTATCATGAAAGGACCCTATCCAAAGATTACTCTCCCTCTTTCCCAGTTTTATGCTTGATGCCCCTTTCTGACATCTGTACATTTATTCATGACTACTTTTCATTGGAATTAAACACGTTTAGTTCTTCAGGAAGTGAAAATAGAAACCTAAAGCCTGAAGGTGTGCAATAGAGGTCATCATGGAAATGACAACTGAAAAGTCAAGCACTGCTCTTTGGTAAAGCTGAAGTGTTGCTGCCCCCGAGTGTGTAAAAGTAGTATGACATTCATGCAAAGTCAAGCCTGTGGCAGCCCATGGGAACAACAGTAGCAGTCAGTTGAGAAGCTAGTTAATTCAGGTATTCCACTGGTATCTTAGAGATCACAGTGTTTTCTTTTTTTTTCTTTCTTTCTGTTTTCTTTTTGAGACATTGTTCCTTTTTTATTCCTTTTTCTTTTTTTTTTTTCTTTCCACCTCCTCCTTCCTTCTCTGTTTTGCCTTGGTGGTCCTGGATTTGCTTTGTAGACCAGGCTGACCTTGAACTCACAGAGATCCACCTGTCTCTTCCTCCCTGATTGCAGGCATGTGCCATTGCATCCCGCTAGAGACAGGGGTTTCTTGAAACCCTGTGTGTTTCTCTGTGTAGCCTTTGCTGTCCTGGAACTCACTCTGTAAACCAGGCTGCCTTTGAACTCAGGGAATTGTCTGTCTCTGCCTCCCGAGTGCTGGGATTAGAGGCATTCATCACCAAGCCCAGCCTTCTTTAATTGAAAAAAAAAAAGATTTATTTTTATTTGTATGAGTATTTTGCCTGCATGTGTATGCATGCGTGCACACATGTCACGTGTGCCCAGTGCTTTCAGAGTTCAGAAGAGAGTCTCTCACCTCCTAGAACTGGAGTTATAGGCATTTGTAAATCACCTGATGTAGGTGCTGGAAACCAAGCGCAAGTCCTGTGCAAGAGTGATAAGTACTCTTAATTGTTGAGCCATCTATCCAGCACTGCTTCTTTATCTTTAAGCCAATATATATATATACATATATATATTTTTCTTTTGAGCATAGTGGGTTGGGAGGAGACCCACTCTGGTCTCTAGTTAAGTAGTCTGTTTGAATTACAGATGTTACTTTCGGAGACTCTCAGGGGAAGCTACACTCCAAACATCTACTTATACTGTGTTCTCCCATCCCCTAGCTAGATTCCCAGGACCTTAGAACATCTGACAAGGAGAGTCTGTTTTCAGAGACTTTCTAGGGCCATATAGTAGAAACTGAAGAGGAAAGCTGATTTGACCTAGAGTTGATGTAGGTGAAGCTAGTCTGATTGAATGAGATTGGATATTTGCCAAAGCACCTTTGAAAGGGACTAGAGCTTCTAGGTCTAAGGACAAAATTAGGAGATGTATCGATGCTGGGAACATATTTAAAGGAATCTGAGTCATTCTGGTTGGGTGAGAGTTTGAAGAAACAGAAACTGAAGCAGCTTCAAGCATCAGGAAACATTGCTGGCTAGCCTGGTGGAAAGGCCCTTTCACTGGGACTTGAATTCAAGATTCTGCTAGCTCAGCCTCCAGAATCACTGGGATTATGAATCTGGGTCACCAAGCCCAGATTACAATGTATTTTCTTTTTCTGTTTTTGTTTTTGCTTTTTGAGACAGGGTCTCTCTGTATATTCTTGGCTATCCTGGACTCACTTTGTAGACCAGGCTGGCCTTGAACTCACAGCCACTCCCTCGTCTCCCAAAGTGTGGGGATAAAAGGCGTGTGCCACCACATCCGGCTTGTATTTTCTTTTAAAACCCAGAAACTATTATCTCCTCCTCATAAACACAGCAAATTCACATACCCTAGTTGAGACAATTCACTTATTCCTGTGCTTTCAGTACAGTCAATAACTTTAATGATAATACCAGTAGTAATAACTGCGGATATCAGCAAGGGTAACTATTGTATCTGGTGTTTCACAGTTCCATTTTACAGTCGAGTAAGTGGAGGTTCAGAACAGTTTACTTAAACTCACACAGCTTTCTCTGCTGATTTCAGTTTTCAATCAGGCTTCTCTGACGCACTCATGCTAGCAAACAGGAGGAGAGTGTGCACCCTAGCTCCTAGGGGGCATTTGTTCTTCTGTGGAGCTTTTTTCCCTTCTTGGAATACACTTTGTAAATTAACACACAGGTGGACCATCATTCCAACCTTTTCTCAGGAAATAGTCAGTTGGCCTGTAGGGGGAGAGATTACCCCAGGAAAATATTTTACCTACTGCACAAACAATTGCTTGATAGCTGTGGGTGGAAAAAGAGAATGGACTCTAGGAAGACATGTGGCTGAATAATACTTGAGTATCTACTGCTGTTTGAGATTTTCAAAGCAATTGCTTTTGATCTTTAACATGGATAATTGAAGTATTAATTGTACTGAAGAAATTCAGGTCTATCTATTTAACAGTCAAGGATTTGACCAGCAATAAACAAATATTTTCAGAAAGGAGTGCACCTTCTACTAATGCTTGCTGTTAAATATACCTTTCTCCTTGAATTAATTATTAAGCAAAAAAGATCATTAAGTACCTATTTATCCCTCCATCAATATATCACCTGTTTAGCTCGTATCTATGGACTACTAACAGAATATGCAGCACAATAATCTCTCTCTTGCTCCATCCCTCCTTTGACATTTTTTGGTACCTTTGTCAAGAATATAGGCTAACATAAATTTAACATTTTTTAAAAAAATTATGTTATTATTTTATAAATTAGTTTATTTATTTTGTATCTCAGCTGTACCCCCATCCCAATTCCACCCTCTTTCCCTCATCTCCCCCCATGTCTTCTGACCCTAGCCTATCAGGTCTCATCAGGACTGGCTGCATTGTATTCCTCACGCAGGCAAAAACATTAGACATAAAAATATTTAAACATATTAAAGGATAATAGAACAGTCTCACATCTAGACTTTGAGCACCGGTGTGAGTACTAAGGATAACAAGCCGAATTTTCAGTTTTCTTCTAAATTCAGCTTGAGATAGAAGAAGATAAGAAGATGAGTTCCTTTCCAGGAGTTGAAAGTAGGCCTCATCCATGTTGTATAGTCTGTTTGGCATATTTTAGGCAATTTGGTCAATCAAAAGAAACTTTATATTTATATTTTATGCTTCAAAAATCGTGTGTGTGTGTGCATGTGTATGTGTGTATGCAAAGTACAAAAGAAACTTCAGAGACTTCATTTCTGAGTGCTAAGGGAAATTATAATGATAGTAAAAGTTTTCATTTCATTTTGTATGAATTATATATGCATGTATGTGATAATGAAACATACATGGGCAGTTCGTTAGTGACTGTTTTAGTTTTTTGAGACAGGGTTTCTCTGTGTAGTTCTGTAGACCAGGGTGGCCTTGAACTCACAGAGAGCTGCCTAGCTCTGCTTCCCGAGAGCTGGGGCTATGGGTGTAACACCATCATGCCTGGCTTCTTCAATGACTTCTCTTAGCCCCCTTTCAGTCTATTTACTTAAGTCTGGCAAGATGGCTCAGTAATTAAGAGCACTTTTTATTCTTGAAGAGAACCTAGTTTCAGTTCCCAGTACCCACATGGTGGATCAAAGCTTTCCATAGCTCCAGTTTCAGGAAATCCAATGCCCTTTTCCGACATCTTTAGGCACAAGGCATAATATGTACTGTGTATATATGTATATGCACGCAAAAAAAAAAAACTCATACACAAAATAGATAAATCTAAAAAAAAAATCTACGTACCTATAATGTATATTTCACTTTCAAATATTTTAATTTCTCTCTGTGTGTATGTGTGTGTGTATTGTTTGTATAACACAAAGGAGATAGTACTGATGGTTCTCTTATTTTTCAGAATTAGGTCTATTCTACTTCCTATAGGGAAATAGGTCTATTCATTGGTCACTTCTATGATATGATATGTGAGCAGTTCCCTCCAAATACCTCCTTTCTTCCGTTGCTCTACAGCAGCATTTTTCTCCAAGCATGTGACTGTTACTTTAAAGTTAAAACAGGTATCCTCTGTTGAAACCATATATTTGGGGAAGAAGCATATGGAAATGATGTAAAATCCTGGGTAGGAGCACTTATTGTATACCAGATAGAGTCCTAACCAACAGGCAGATGAAAAGGTTCTCAACACTATTAGTTATGATTAAAGCCATAGTAAGATACCATAGTGTTACCTATTAGGATGGCTAAAACAAAGACAAAATGTATAGTATGAAAAGCTCACCCGGATACAGAGTACATGAAACTCTTATATACTGCTGATGAGATGAGAAATCTTCAAAAGAAGGGAAATGGAATGTGAATTAATTTGGTCTGTGAAGAGAAGACTTAAGTTCCTGATCTTAACCTGAAGTTTTGTC